GGATCCCAGATATCATTGCTAAGGACAGACCAGTATTTGTGAAGCATTTAATCTTGTATAAGCCCTGGAGTGACTGTGGAGATCAGGAAGAAGAAAAGCCACGGATAGTTGATCCAGGAAAAGAAAGAAAACTGAATGAAGCAAATGAAATTCCAGGAAGATTTTATTTCCTTTACCATTAATACCTATTGAAGTACTTGTCATCCATTTTCACAAAGTCTGAGTTTTTTTTAATAGTTGAAAACTCCGTAGCGGTTCCAGACTTAGCTATGCGTTTCAACCACCTAGGGATCTTTTAAAAATCTCAAATCCCAGATCACATCCAGACCTAATCAATCAAAATCTCTGGCGGTGGGACCAAAACACCAGCACTTTTGAAGGCCCCAGGTGCTTCCAGTGTGCAGAAAAGTTTGGGAACCACTGCCATAATGAATGAAAATGAGCCTGGGCCTATCTGCCCAGGTGTGTTCAGTAATATTCACTGTCAAGTGCTCGGAACTGGATGGCTTTCACAGACTCATTCCACAAATATATTTTTTGAGAACTTTGCAGTGTCTCTTTACCAGACCTTAGGGATATGGGAGTGAACTGTCCCTGACTTCACTAGAGTTGGAGGGGACAGACAAGCTGTAAATAAAAGGTGAATTTATATATCATGAGGCATAATACAAGCAGATGAATATTTTTCAACCAAATGATGAGATTTTGTCAGGTGGGGGCGGTCATTTTCAGCACTGTGGACAGTGGTAGGTCGGCATCTCCACCGAGCTCTCAAAGGCCTCAAACTTAACATGTTCAGATCTTGAGGTTTCTGGTATTTCCCCTCTGCCCAAATTAAACCTCTTGCCTTCCTTATTTCAGTTACTTCCCCCTTGACTACTACTCTTCATACCTAGTCCAGCGAGAAATCCTGTCCGCTCTATACCTTCAAAATATATCCAGAATTTGACCATTTCGCTCACCGAGGTGCACACCTGTCTCATCTGAATCGTGACAGCCTCCTGTGCTCCCTGCTTCTGCCCTTGCCTCCCTTCAGCCTCTTGCCACAGCAGCTGGAGGGAGCCTGTTAATGTGATAAGTCTGAGCATTCCTCGGTGCTCAGAACCCTTCAAGTGCTTCCTGTTTCACACAGGGTGGAAGCCGGTCTTCTCAGATACTTGGCTAACTGTACTCCAGCCACACTGGCTTCCTCTCTCTGCCAGGCATGCTCCCATAGTAGGGCCTTTACCCTTGACATTCTTGCAAGGGCAGAGGGCTTCCCCCAGATACCTTCACAACTAGATGTTCCCTTTCTTCAGGCCTTTACCCAGAAGTCAAGTGAGAACTGGATGGAAAGTCATGGGGGTGGGGTGCTATATAAAATAGAAGTTTCAACCCAAGAGAGTAGACAGATTCAACTGAAGTCTTTTTTTAATTTCATATTCTGAAATACTTAACAGATTCACAGGAAGTTGCAAAAATAATAGAGAGGACCCATGTGCCTTTCACTCAGCTTTCCCAATGGTAACATCTTGTATAAATCTCGTATAGTATCAAAACCAAGAAATTGACATTAAAGTAATTTACAGACCTTGAGATTTCATAAACTTCATGCGCAATCATTTGCATGTGTCTTTCTCTGTGTGTAATTATATGCAATTTTATCACATGTAGATTTGTGGAACCACCACTATCAAGTAACAGAACTAAAAAAAGATAACAATAATTCAGAATTGTCCCATCATCTCAGAGATCCCTCATGCTCCCTCTGTATATTCACATCCATGCCTCTTCCATACCCCTGTTTTCCCACCCCTAATCCTTGGCAACCTCTGATCTGTTACCCATCTCTATAATTTTGTTGCTTTGAGAATGTTATATAAGTGAAATTTTACGGAATGTAACCTTTTGAAATTGACTTTTTTTTCACTCAGCATAATTCCCTTGAGATCCATCCATATTGCTGCATGTATTAAGAGTTCGTTCCTTTTTATTGCTGAGTAATAGACCATGGTGTGGATGTACCACATTTTGTTTAAACATTCACCCATTGAAGAGCAGTTGGGTTGTTTCAATCTTTTGGCTGTTGCAAATAAAGCTGCTATGAACATTTGTATACACAATTTGTGTGGGTGTAAGTTTTTTTTTTGTTTCTGAAATGATTTTGAGCAAATAAATTGGTATGCTTTGTCTGCCTCTCAAGAAGGTGAATAAATGATAAGATCTAACTTAAAAATGGACAAATCTTTCAAAATACAGTTTACCAAAACAGAGACAGGATGAAAAGGGAAATGGTGTAACTCTTGTACTATCTATTGTCACATAACAAATAACCCCAAAAGTGGCTTGCCACAACATTTATTTCATGGTTTGTGTAAGTCAGGAGTCTGGAATCTGCTTCTGTCTCTCATGGGCTGCAGTCTGGGTGGTGGCTGCAGCATCTCACAGCTCATCTGGAAGGGTATGCTCCCAAGGTCACTCTACTGACTGCTGGCAGGATTCTATTGCTCGCAAACCACTGGAAAGAGGGCCCAGATTTTTGTTGGCTAGAGGCTGCCCTCAGTTCCTTGCCACATGAACTTCTCTGCAGGGCAACTCACAATCTATATGGTAATTTGATTTCTCCAAGCAGCAAGCAAGAAGTGGTTGAGACAGAGGTAGAGTAGGGAACATGGGGTGGGGTGGAGAGAGAGAAAGAAGTCACAATCCATTCCTTATAAGCGAGGCTCTAGTAGGTCCAGTCCAGACTCGGGGACTGTGTAGAGTTTCCCCATCACCTCATATTCATGCTCTTGTATAATTCCTTCCCCTGAGTGTGGGCAGTACCTAGTGGCTTCTTTATCTTCAGGCATGAGAGAGAAACCATACGGGAAGTTTTACACAAAGAATGGTTAACATCTAATAAATGAGTGACAGATGCAGGGACTCTCCATATGGTGCTATATGACTTATTTGGGGAGATCATGTGAGGAAGGACAAATGTGCAAAGGTGTCCCATTACTAGATGGGTTCAGACCTCATTGAAGATGGTGTAGTTAAGCTTACTGGGCCAAAGAGAGGTTTGCTGGGTTTGCCCAGGCTGGAACTGATTGCTGGCAAAGGAGAGTAACTCTTTGGGCCACAGATGAACTACACCAGAGCCCAGGGAGGGAATTGGCACCAGTGCAGACAGGAAGCATTTGGCTGCCAATGCAAGCGGGAGGCCTTCAGGGCACCGATTTCGGTAGAGAGGGCTACTGCAAAAATACTGCTAGGCCAAATCGGGGTTGGCAAGGACAGCAAGGGAGTACGTCTGCTCATCGCATGGCCTGAGAAGCGTGCCCTTGGATATCCTTCAAGCCATACACTGACCACAGACCCTCCTGCAGTGGCCTCCAGTGCCCTCTACTGAGAATCTTTGTGCTCACTGCCAAGGAGCGATGCTTCCAGGAAAGATGCAGTGAGTTGTTTATTGGCACAGAATCTGTTTTAGAAGCTGCCTAATGTAGCCCTACATCTATAATAAAGAAATGGAATAAATTATGAAAACTCTCACAAAGAAAACTGGAGGCCCAGATGGTTTCACAGGTGAATTTTATTAAAGAAGAAATAACACCAATTTTGCAGATACCCTTTCAGAAAACGGAGGAAGAAAGTCCCTGGTTAGTTCTATTATCAATATAACCCTGGTGCCAAAGTCTGACAATAACATTACGAAACACACACACACACACACACACACACGAGGAAATTATAGATAAATAGTCCTCATGAACATGGATGCAAAAATCCTCAAAATATTAGCAAATACATATATATTTATCTATAGATTTTATATATATGAAAAATATGTCCTAATAGGATTTATCTCAGGAATGTAAGGCTGGTTTTTAACATTTGAAAATCAGTGTTGCATTGTTCAACCCATTATTAAGGGTTCTTAAGTTTGGGGGGAGTTTTTGACTCGATAGTCTGAACTGCTCTTCAGAAAAATAGGCACATACACAAATTTGCAGACAATTTCAAGTGGTGATAGGACCACATATTAAGAACATAAAAAAAAGATTTATGCATAAGAGAACTGGGGTGTAAGCTAGAGGTGCAGGGGACGAGAGGATTCACCAGCGAGAGTGGGGAGCAGAACAATCAGATCCACTGAAATACACTGCTGAGGTAAGCAAGGATGAGGCAGGAAAGGTTTGTTGCACCACGTGGGCTGCCCCCTGGGCCGCCAGGGATGGAACTGGTGCTACAGTGGCTGGCGATGCTTGATGCTTGCTAGCCCTGTCTTTAACCTGGGTGCCACAGGGAAGGCCCCATATTAAGAACTTCTACCCCAAACTTAGAGCTATTTTAAACGGTGTATTGTTCTAGTATAGTTTGAGTGATTCAATTTACACAAAACTTTTTATGAGCTACTTATTTGTGATTGTGTCTTGAACACATCTCAATAAGGGCTCAGAACATACCATTTTAGGTTTAAAAAATGTTGCAAATAGAGTTCCCCTATACTCTTCACCCAGAATTCTCAAAGGTTAGCATCTTATATAAGCGTTGTACAATGATCAAAACTATTGAAACAACACGATCAACTAATATTATTAGGAGGAACTGAGATGCAGTGAGTTGTTTATTGGCACAGAAGCTATTTTAGAAGCTGCCTAATGTAGCCCTACATCTATAATAAAGAAATGGAATAAATTATGAAAACTTGGGTAGATTCTTGTCTGAATCTGTTTTCCTTTTAAATAGACGTGGTGTAATCAAGGGCCCGTAAAAAATACATGTGAATGGCTTGGCAAACTTCAAAGGTAAGTGAACAAAAGATTTTTATTGCTCACAGCTGGGCATACACCCTGTAGTTTTGAGTTCAAACAAAAGCCAAAACAAAGGAAGTAGCAGCGGATTGCTAGTGTCGAGGTGTTTTGTCCAAAGTGGGACCCGTAGCTCTCCCCGCCCGGCCGCCCGCTGGGGGCGGCTTCTGATTGGCTGGCGTGTGCCGGCGCTGACGCCAAGGGCCGCCTCATTGGTCCGCGCGGCCGGGACTCCAGCGGCTTTTCTCAGTGCTGGAAGCTCCGACCCCTTCTTCCCACCGCGGAGCGCGTCCTCCCCTCTGCAGGGCCCGGAGCCGCTGGCCCGACGGGCGCCGGACCGAGCTAGGCCGGGCAGCTGCACCGAGGTCAGCCGGGCGGACGCGGCGCGCGCGCAGTAGGGCGGGAGGTGGTGAGGCCCTGGCGGCCGGCAGCCCGGCCTGTCCGCGCGCCCCGACCCCGCGGCGTCCGTCTTTTCTGGCTCCGCCCGCCCCGCGGCCCCCACCGGCCTCGGGTTCCGCCCGAGGTTCTCCTCGCCGAGTCCCCTGGGCCCGCCTCCTCCGCGAGCTCCCCGGCGGCCCCGCCCTTCCTTCCGGTCGGCGGCCGAGCCGCCTCCGCCAGCCCTGGGGACCCCGCCCTCCCTGGGCTCCCGCATTCCCCGCCGCCGGGTCTCCGCGGGTTTTTCCCCCAGGCTTCGCCCTAACTCCGCCCTCCAGCCAGGCCCCGCCCCCTCGGGAGCTCCCGCGGCCCCGCCCTCGCCGCGTCCTCCCTGGGGGCCTCGCCCTCGCGCCTCCCTCTCGGGCCCCGCCTCTGTCACGTGCTGCTCCGCCTTCGCGCCTGCGGCTCCACCCATAGGCTCCGCCGCCTGCCAGCCTCGGCCCCGCCTTCTTCTGGCCCCGCCCTTTGGACCCGCCCTCCGCTGGCCACGCCTTCTACCCATGCCCCATCGGACCCCGCCCTCCGCTGGCCCCGCCCCTCTGACCCTGCCCTCTACTGGTTTGCCCCGCTGGCCCCGCCCCCTCGGACCCCCGCCCCGTTGGCCACGCCCCTCGGACGCCGGCCCCGCCCACCCAGCCTGTCCTGGCTTCCTAGACCCTTCTCTGCCTCTTCAAGTTTGGTTATGTCCCACCCTCTATTCCCATGGTTTCCCAGCCACCGCCTCTAAATGCATCTTTCTGTGAACCCTGCCACCTTGAAACCCCTCTCCCCGTCTGATTGCCCCCATCTGGGTCCCCGAATTCTACCGATCCAGACTGTCGCTGTGGGCTTAGCAAATTGTGGAGAGGCTTTTGTGCTGGGCATTGGGTGAGGTCTCTGCCCCGTGGGAGGATTATTTTGTCACGGAGTTTAATGGGCCTGGTTTTAAGTATTTAATGAAGAACGCTCAGGATTGAGATGCTTGGAGGAGGGAGTTTTCGCTTTCCCTGCTGGATCCTCCTGCCTACCTGGGAGAGGCCAAAGGAGTTTTCTCCCAAAATGTCCCTGGCTGCTTCTGATGTAGAAGCTTGACTTTAACCATTGTCTTTTAAATACCTGGGGATTAGCAAAATCTTGTCATGGGCTCTTCTACCCAAGTTGGTAGGGCTAGAGCCCCCCCAGCCCAGAGTGTCCACTGGGAGGCTGAAGACAGGGATGGAGAAATGACTAGCTTTCACAGGGTGAGTGACTCAGCACTCTTGATGATGCTTTTTTGGAGTTTTTCTTGAAGATTCCTACACAACTTTCCAATTATCCGGTTGTCTTTAGGAAAACCTAAAAGTATGTGTAGATAAAACCTCCCACCAGCAAGTACAAGACTAACTCACACCTTTGTCTCTTGGAGTTAGGTCCCTGGTGTTTCACCCTCACTCTCCCATTCACTGTAAAGTCTAGGAACATAACTTCCGGTGTGAGAGCCTCACTTGTACCTTCTGCAAAAAGGGTATGATAAACCTTGCCACGTAGGTCATGGTACAGATTTCTTGAGATTCTGCTTAAGAAGAAAATCACTTTTAGGGTCTTGGGAAGAGCAGGCCCTTAGTGCAAGTGAACCCATACTCTTCAGATTCATGTGTTTGGTTCACAGCAGCAAAGAACATGATATGTTGCCCTCTTCCAGGCACCATGACGACCTTGGATGATAAGTTGCTGGGGGAAAAGCTGCAGTACTATTACAGCAGCAGTGAGGATGAGGACAGCGACCCGGAGGACAAGGATGGAGACAGGGGTGCCCTGGCTGGCAGTTCAGTGCCTGCAGATGCTGAGTTGGCAGGCGAAGGCATCTCAGTTAACACAGGTACTGGCAAATCCTGGGTTCTGGGAAAAGGTTTTAAAAATGTCCCTTTCGAGACAGTTAACAGTCTCCTCATCATGTCTCCTAATTCTAGGTCACTACCAGAGATAACCTAGTGTTGTCGTTTCCGTGAGTGTGCTTATAGCCATGCCCTGTGCCCTACAGCTGTGTATGCACAGCAAGGGGGCTGTGAGCATGGATCTAGGTTTTAATTCAAATCCTCAAATGAATAGTTGTTTGATATCACACAAATCAGAGATATGCATATACTGGTAGTACAAAGTCCTACAGGGGGCATATTTACTCTTTCATATTGAAATTTTTTGAATTTCCCTCAGTTGAGGTGACAGTGTATAGCTTAACCATCTTTACCCGTACCCCTGCCCTCTGACTGCTTTTATCTTTGCCATCCTGGTGGATGCCATGTGGCAACTCATGGTTGTTCTGTTTTCTTTCTGTTTCTGTTCATTGTTAAAATTGAGTATTTGGTCTTTTGTCTCTTTAGGGAGTTACATATTAAGGAAATCAATCAATCTGTGGTATAGGTTGTGACTATATCTACCAGTTTGTTGTTTGTATTTTGACTTTGTGTTTTCCTGGCAGAAATTTTTATTTTTATGCACTTGAAAGCATTGTTTTATAGTTTCTTAGTTTTGTTTTTTACTTAAAAGTGTCTCTTCATTCCAGGGTTATAAAGAGACACGTGGCTTTATTTTTTTTTTTAAGTATTTCTATGTTTTTTTTTTTTTTAGACTTTTTTAATTCATCTGGAATTCGCTTTGGTGCAATGTATGTGGTATGGCCCTGACTGATTTTTTTTTTCATATTGCTACCCAGTTGGGTCACAATCATTTATTCAATAAGTTATCTTTTCTCCATTGTTTTGAAATGTCAGTTTTATCATGTGTTTTTGTGTATTTAGCTGTCCTTAGTCTTTAACATTAATTTGTCTTTGTGTTGTATCACACTCTTTTTAATTGTTTGTGTATTATAATATTAAGTATCCAGTAGGGCTGGTTCCCCTCAGCACCTTCCTGTGTCATTATTTTCCTTCCTTTTCCCCTCTTTTATTTTTCTAAAGCAAATTTAGAGGTGTGCACACATGTGTAATCACATATTTTCATCAGGACCACCTTAACTTTATAGATGAATTTAGGGGTAACAGCACATTCGGCTACTTTTTTGTCATAAAAATTCAGCTCATACAGAAGTAGAGGAAGAGCTGAGTCCCCTTCGAGCCGGTACTTAGAGACAACCACCGTAAAGAGTTTATATATCCTTCTAGCTTCTTTTTCTGTGAAAGTGCAAATGTACACATATGTGTAAATGTCCACAAATATTTATACACACATACAATGCTGTTCCTAACAATTGAGAATCATACAATATTATTCTACATTTTGCCTTTTTTTTTTTTCATTTTCCTTTGTTTTTTTAAAGATTTATTTAGTTATGCATTCAAGAACTGGGGTACAGGCCAGAGATGCGGTGGGTGAAAGGATTCACCAGAGACAGAGTGGGGAGCAGATAGATGGATTGACTGAAATACACTGCTGAGGGGAGCAGCGGGCAAGGCAGGAGAGATCTGCTGCGCCATGTGGGTTTCTCCCTGGCCGGCCGGGGATCAAACTTGTGCTGCAGAGGCTGCGAACTGCTTCATAGTGCGGTGCTTAACCCCTTGTACCACCAGGGAAGCCCTCATTTTCCTTTATTTATTTATTTATTTATTTATTTATTATTATTTTTTAAATTATTTATTTATTTATATAAGCACTGGGTACAGTCAGAAGCGCGGGAGGGTGAGAGAATTCACCAGAGCCAGAGCGGGGAGCAGAACAGGCAGAAGGACCGAAGTACACTGCTGAGGGGAGCAGCGGGTGGCAGAGGAGGTCTGCGCGCCATGTGGGACCCTCGCCCAGTGGCCAGGGATTGAACCGGCGCTGCAGAGGCTTTGGGCAGCTTCACAAGCCAGCGCTCAACCACTGCGCCACTGGGGAGGCCCCTCATTTTCCTTTTTTTAACCTAGTATACTTGAGCATCTTTTTTGGCTGGAAAGAGAGCTGCCTCATTCTTTGTAAGAGTTGCTTTATTTATTTTCCTTTGCATAGATGGATCATAATTTATTTAATGTTGGGCCTTAGCTTGGCCTTTTGGTGATGGCAGGCCGTGCTGTAGTGGACATCATGGTGCATGGACCCCACTGCCTTGTGTGAGTGCCTCTGTGCAGTCTGCTGGAGCAAGCTAGGACAGATGTGAACTTGCACCTACAGATGTGAACTGATCCATAATTGCTTGCCTATTCTTCTTGGTCCCTTCCATGTGCACCCACAACTCAGGTCCAAAAGGTGTGATCAATGACTGGCGCCGCTTCAAGCAGCTAGAGACGGAGCAAAGGGAGGAGCAATGCCGGGAGATGGAACGGCTGATCAAGAAGCTGTCCATGACCTGCAGGTCCCACATGGACGAAGAGGAGGAGCAACAGAAACAGAAGGACCTCCAGGAGAAGATCAGTGGAAAGGTAGGAAGCGGTGCCGGTGTCTCTCAGCAGTTGTGCTGGCTGCTGAAGCTGGGGTTAGCGATTCAGGAGATGGAGGATGTTTGATTTGGTGGTGCAGTGCAGGGGACGTATGGGGTCACGTTGTCCCCCAGATGCATCTGACTTTGAATCTCAGCTCTATGTCTAGTGACTGTGGGGCAGCTTTGTCATTGATTCAGTGAGGTCAGTAGCCATATCTCACAGGACCATGTGGGTAAGTGACCATCACAGGGCCTGGCTAGGTAAATGCAGTTTCCTGTCCTTTATGGGGGTCTTTCTTACCTAGGACCAGAAATAACCCTCTGAGGTTGGTAGTATTTCCCCATTTACAGATGATGAAATTGACGCGTAGAGGGAGAAGGAACCTTGCTCACGGTCCTGCACCTAGTAAGTTGTGACAGAAGCTGGGCTTCTAACCCACGCTGTCCTCCTCTTTCCAGGATGTGGCTCCAGTTCATCTGAAGCCTGTTCCTGAAAATCCATTCCGAGGAGGTAATCCAATAGCAAACGGATGCTCCACAAGATATTTGCAATTAGGTCCCTGACTCTCTCGTACCTGCCCAGTCTTAAAAGGACCTTCTGTTCCTCCCGTCCCCTCTGACCGCAGATGAACATCTAGAAGGGCCAGAGATCCTGTGGCTGTGGCCCAGAGAACTGTTGGCTGGGAGCAGCAGTCAGGATCAGGAAACAGATGAGGATTAAGGGAAGAGTCATTTCAGGGCCTTGGACTCAAGCAAAGACCATAATTAGTCAAGAAGGAGCCACTCGGTTAGGCTGCGGTAGAGTGAAGAGTTGTGAGATGGGACGGAAACTGGAAATAATGAGTAAAGCAGGGAATCGAAATGGTGCTACTGTGGTGCAGGAACAGCATCTGTTCTGATCTGGCAGAGTCCCCAGCCTCAACCCTCTGACCTGCGCAAGATAAGGCAGAGCTGGGCTTGGGTACAGGCACAGGAAAGTCTTGCCACGCCAAGGAGAAGAAGGAAGATGGATTTGTCCCTTCAGCTGGCTGCTGGGCACTGTGCCCACCGCTCACTGCCATTTGCTTGTACTGAGCTGAGAGACGGAGCAACACAGCTCATGGCCACCAGGGGCAGTCTTGAGGTGGGATGGCCTGTCCTGCTGGGTTGTCAGAGTAGAACAGAACAGCACATTGACAGGAAGCCAGAAATAAGGGCGTGGCTGAGCAAAATCAGCACATTATGTACATCTCAGCAAAGACTGGAAACATGAGGCAATATGTATGATGTAATAGTGCTAAGTTGCAAAAGCATTTTATAGTTTAGTTGGTTCCCCACAAATGCTGTTACAAATGCAAAAATGACTTTAGCCTGTGATCGATAGTGAAGTTTCTCGAGAGTATGTGTGACTGAGTGTTTTAAGTGCGAGCTGGGGATTATGAATATAAAGTTCCCTAATGTCCCGTCATCTTTTCTACAAAAGCAGAAGTGGATAAAATCAGGAGTCCTTTGTCAAGAGAGACAAAAAAAGAAAAATACTCAGGAGGTTATGTTATCCCAGGCTGCCTGTTTGAATTAAGAGATGAAATGAAACCCACTGGGTTTTTTAAAATTAGTTTGAAACCTGGTCTTATTCTTGTTGCCTGTGTGACCTGGTGCAAATAATTTCAAGTCTGGCAACCTCATTTGCAAAATGGGACCACGATAGACCCTTTCCGGTGAGGCTGTCTTCAGAATTCCGTGAGATCCAGGCACACAGAGCCCCAGGTCCAGCCTCATATAGCAGAAGTACAAGGTGCATGTGCACGTTAGTGTCAGGGTGTGGCTTGTGTTTCTCATGTTCATTCGCTCGTCCTCCTACAGATGACTCTGAAGGAGTTTGCCATGGTAAACGAGGACCAAGATGACGAAGCGTTTCTGCAGCAGTACCGGAAGCAGAGAATGGAGGAGATGCGGCAGCAGCTCCACAAGGGACCCCAATTCAAGCAGGTGTTTGAGATCCCTAGTGGAGAAGGGTTCTTAGACATGATTGACAAAGAACAGAAAAGCACCCTCATCATGGTCCATATCTACGAGGACAGCATTCCGGGGACTGAAGCCATGAACGGCTGCATGATCTGCCTTGCTGCCGAGTACCCAGCTGTCAAGTTCTGCCGGGTGAAGAGCTCGGTGATTGGGGCCAGCAGCCGGTTCACCAGGAACGCCCTGCCTGCCCTGCTCATCTACAAGGGGGGTGAATTGATTGGCAATTTTGTCCGGGTCACTGACCAACTTGGGGAAGATTTCTTTGCTGTGGACCTTGAAGCCTTCCTGCAGGAATTTGGATTGCTCCCTGAAAAGGAAGTCTTGGTGCTCACATCGGTGCGTAGCTCTGCCACCTGTCACAGCGAAGACAGCGACTTGGAAATAGATTGAGCCACGAGTCCACTAGTGTCGATTTCCCACTGTTGGGGCTGCAAGAAACATATCTGGGTGTTTTTTTTTTTTTTTTTTTTTAATTTTGTTCTTTCCTGTGTCTTCTGGTGTTTCAGCTGTTTTTTGTAGTTCCTTTTCTTATATGTAAAGTCAAGAAATTCTCAGATTAAATTAGAATGCTGAATCACCTTGTGGTTAGCAATAAAGTCACTTAAAATTGTATAAACAGGAAGCCAGGCTTTTGAACTATTTACTCAAGAGTCTCTGGTATGACATCTCTGTTATTGTTTCCAGTCAATATTTACATAGCATCCTAAAGACAGAGTCCTGCAAATTGTGCTCAGATGAGCTGGGAGGTCTCTGCCAGGTCTGGGAGTATGATTCTGTAACTTGTATGTTATTTGCAACGTAAATAGTACGTTTCCCTCATCAGATGATTGTAAATTATATTTACTGGTGATCAGACCCATACCCCGAGAAGAGAGTTCTTTCCCTGCTAGTGTCTCTTCTCCCTGGTCTTGCTTCAAGGTTGCTGATCTATGTGTTTGCCCCATCACAGGAGGCAGCCTCTGCTGGTGGAGTTGATGTCTGGCTCAAGAGTGACTAGATCTAGGATTAGGGGAAGGATGGGTGCCCGCTGCCTTCCTGATGCTGAACAACCAACTGGAGTTAAGAATTAGAACGGGGTGGCGCTGGGAAACCTTTTTAAAGGTGGATCTTTTAGTAAGATCCTCCCGCTTACCTCATTCTCTGTCTCTTATTTAGTAAGGTAATTCTGTTTCATGTTGCTTTTTTTAAAAAACTTTTTGCATTTTGGAAAAGTATTATTCAATAGGGGAAAATTGACCAAAATGCAGAAGCAAAAATAAGATTAGAATAATCTCTGATCCTATCCAGGGTAAAACACTCTTAATATTTTAGTACATTTCCTTCAAGGTGGTTTTCTTTGTCTACATAGACATTTTGTTTCTACCATAGCCTTGGGATCATTCTGGACATACTGTTTTATAGTATGGTCAGATATTATGTTAGACTTCTTTTCAAGTTTTTAAATACTCTTCTACAACATGTTTTAAATGGCCGTCAATGTTCCATTGTATAGATATTCTGTCGTTTTCCTGGCAGTTGTCTCTTAAAAAGAAAAACAGCAAAGACTTTGTATTACAGGAGTAATAGATGTCCGGTGTAGAAAAATATAATAAAAACTGCTAAGCCGAAGAGAGATTTTAAAAGCCCAATCCTCCACCAACCAAAAATAATCTCCGTTACCATTTTTACAGGTAGCTTTCTAAATTTTTTTTTTTCTATGTATTTATAATAATGATGGTCATGGGAGGTTTCCCACTTGAAAAATAGATATTCCACAGTCAAGGAAAATGTAATCTGGAGTTAAAAATTAGCTTTAAAATTCATAGTTTCACTTTTTCTGGCTGTTCAGAAATTGACTGTTGGAGGGTGTTAAAAATATCTGTGGTGGTTTTCCAGCAAATAGAGATATCATGGTTTTTCTGATAAAAGAGCTTATTGTAGCAGAAAATTGTAAGAGGTAGAGACAACTGTTTTTACTGTTCGAGTTTATTTCTTTTCAGTCTCTTCAATATTTTTAATAACAATACGAACTTGTGAATTTAGTTCTGTATTCTGTTTTATTTAATATTACATCACAAATACCTTGACATGTTATAAAAATTCTAAATAAATAATTTTTAATGACTTCATAATATTCCATTGCTTGGCTATTCCATAATTTACTTAACTGGTCCCTTAATGTTGGCTATTTTGATTCCCAGTTTTGGGGTTTTTTTCCCCCAAAGTACTTCACATCTTTGTATCTGGGGCTATATTTAGAGTCATTCGTTTAGGATAGATTTCCAGAAGAGGAAGTGCAGGATGGCCGAACAGGAACATTTTGAGATAGTTTTTCCAGACTCTTCAGTTCTCATTGAAAATTAAAATGTATCATATGCTCACAGAATTTGGGCTTTCAAAAAAAGGAATTCCAGAACAGACACAGAGTGATCAGGCACGGAGTGGGAGGTCCTAGAATGTCACCCTTCACTCATATGTAGTGCAGACAGCACCGGCTTGGTCAGTCAGTCCCGGTTCCAGTCCTGTCAGACTCAGGCTGTGAAGCTGTTCCCCTGCCTTTGCAGTGGGAACAGCAAGCCCTGCGTTGAGGGTGGCTGTGTGACAGTGCTTCCAGCATGTGGGCCTTGGTGTGCAGCCTTAGCCTTGCTGGGAGCTTATTAGAAAGGCAGCCTCACAGGCCTCACCCACACCTACTGCATCCGAAACTCCGGGAGCGGCCCAGCATGCCTTTGCTGGTGTTCCGTGACCCATTCAAGTTTGGGGCCAATCTTTGGATTAAAGTGGGTGAGGGCATCTGTCCCAACCAGGACTCACTGCTGATAGACTCCTTTATTTGAGCAAGGGAGGAAGTTGAAAAAGGAAAGGTGAGTTCATGTCCTTTTCACTTTTTTTTTTTTTTTTAAGATTTATTTATTTATGCATACAAGAGCTGGGATACAGGCCAGAGATGCAGGGGGTGAGAGGATCCACCAGAGACAGAGTGGGGAACAGAACAGGCAGATTGAAATACGCTGCTGAGGGGAGCAGCGGGTGAGTCAGGGGAGGTCTGCTGTGCCATGTGGGTAGCTCCTTGGCCGGGGATCGAACTCATGCTGCAGAGGCTGCAAATAACCTCATAGGTTGCGTCTTAACCCCTTGGGCCACCAGGGAGGCCTCCTCTTCACTTTTTTGTGATTCTCCCTTTCAGCTCTGGAATTGAGAGGAAAGAAACAAATATTTGCTATTACAATCTGTGGTAGTTTTCCAGGCTCCTCATTGACCTAGAATGAAAGTGGCCAACAGGCATGGACTGGTTTTCGCCCCGTGGAAGACATAACCTCTTCTCTTTGAAATAGGCTGAGGTAGACTGGCTTTGTGGGCAAGAGCTGAAACCCCTCCATGCTTCAGTGTCTTCATCTGTGAAGTGGGGAGGAGCAACATGACTTCATAATATTCCATCATACTGTGGAATAATATTCCATGAATGCTGCCAGCCTTCAAGTAAGTGCTGTCTGTCTCTCACCCCAGTGCTCACGACTGCCTGGCCTTGGGAGGAAGCCGTAAACATTTAATAAGGAACATACTGGTTCACAGAATGACACATCCTTCCCAGACAGGAAGTAGTGACCTTTCAAAGATGAAGACACAAATACTTAGCAGAGTGCAGTGTCTATTTCAAGCTGTACAGGGCCAGGTTTTGAAATCAAGTCTGTCTTGTTCCAAAATATTTATTTCTGTGATGTCAGGTTATTGATGGAGAAAGCAGAATGATCAAGTGACATTAAAACAGAAATAAGTTTCTTTTTTATTTACTTTCTGTTTAAAGATTTATTTTTTATCTTTTTTTAATTATCATTTTAATCCTTTTTTAAAAAGATTTATTTATTTATGCATACAAGAACCGGGGTACAGGCCAGAGGTGTGGCTGGTGAGAGGATTCACCAGAGACAGAGAGGGGAGCAGAACAGGACCGAAATACACCGCTGAGAGGAGCAGCGGGCGAGACAGGAGAGGTCTGCTGCGCCATGTGAGCTGCTCCCTGGCCGGCCAGGGTATCGAACTCGTGCTGCAGTGGCTGCGGATTGCTTCATAGGCTGTGTTTCAACCCCTTGAGCCACCAGGGAGGCCCTTATTTTTTATTTACTTATGCATACAAGAACTGGGGTGTAGGCCAGAGGTGCAGGGGGTGAAAGGATTCACCAGAGTAGGGAGCAGAGTAGGTGGATTTACTGAAATACACACTGCTGAGGGGAACAGGAGGCAAGACAGTCTGCTGTGCCATGTGGGTCTCATGCTGCAGAGACTGCGTGGAACTTTCCAACATGGGACTGGGAATTAGTCATTGTCCAAGAAACTGTCTCCTTTTGTGGAGAATGGGTTTAGAATTAAAATCTGGATGCTTTGTGTGCCCATTGCTACTGAGTTATCTTTACTTCTAGGCCCTTACAGTGGACAGAGGAAGAAAACATATTTCTGAAAATGGCAAGTTCATAGTTACATTTCCAATGGCAATATAATCCCAACATCCATATGTTTACTAATTTTTATTACTGTCTAATACACACATGGTAGTTTCATCATAATTTCTATGCCACTAAAAATAGAAACTTCAAGAAAAATTTCAAGATTTCTTTGCCATTGTGTTTTTTTTTTTTTTTTTGTCCTTAGAGTTTCTCCAGCTGAGGATGTGCAGAGTATTGAGTTAAACATGATTTGAGTTATTTTCTTCTGTGTCATTATGTTGTCAACTTGATAGAGAAGTGCGTTCATTGGTTTCTGAAGGAATCAATTTGAGGGCTTGCTTTTGTTCACTCTTCCTGATTTGACTTTTTTGAATTTGTAAAGCATTTGCCTAGTTTGAAAGCCAACATTAAATGTATACTAGTTTGAAAGCCAACATTAAATGTATACTCGTTTACAAAGGTATTCTCAGTGGCCTCCCTGGTGGCCTAGGGGTTAAGTCTCAGCATTGTCAACACAATGGCTTCGAGTTCTATCCCTCCCAGGGAGCCTTGAGCCAAGTAGCTAATCCTGGGGCAGCAGACCTCCCCTGTCTCCCCTGCTTCTCCCCTCAGCAGTATATTTCAGCAAATGCACCTGCTCTGCTCCCCAATCTGTCTCTGGTCAATCCTCTCGCACCTCTGGCCTACATCCTAGCTCTTTCTATACAAAAATAAATAAAATCTTTTAAAAAAAAGGTATGTTCAGAGAGAGAGCTCACCGCTGCATTTATTCCCTCCAACCCAGGAATTTATTTCTGATTGTATGAATGGCCCTTGGTAAGGTTCTTAGTCCCGCTATACTTTGCTCTCCCAAGTGAGGATAATCAGAGTAATAATTAAGCAAGGATTATGTCAGCGAGCGAGATTTCATCCAATGAGCTAAAGTTCTTAGCATGATGTCACACATAGTAAATATTCCATAAATGTCATCTGTTTCTTTACTATCCTCTCTCTACAAAGCCTTGCTTCCACTTACCATCCTGGGAAAAGCCCTATTTATCCTTCGAAAATCAGTTCAAAACTCACATTTCTGCACGCTTAGATGCAGTCTCCCCTGCCTCTGTAGAGAGTCACAGTCATACCACTGTGTGTGTGCCTCCAGACAGTGGCGACGTTGGTTGAGAAAAGTCTGGAGGGCTTAGCGTGTGGGTCCAGTGAGCACTGGCAGTACCTTTTTTTCCCCAGATGTGCCAGGGGGATAGCAGCAATTTGGATGAGAGGCCCACGAGTCAACACTGATAAAGCATTCAGCCTGTTGCTTAGCAACTAGAAACAGCTCAACAAGTCATCTACTGTTGTCAGAAGGCTCTCATTTGGTATCTTGTTTAATTTAATGAAAAATTTAATATATTAATAAGTAGAGGATGTGAAATTTCTGGTGACTTTGGTGAATTTGTCTTCCTTTCCCATCTGCTGACCCCAACTTCAGCAGAGGTGGTTGCCAAAAGGTGAATTGTAAGTATTTGTTTACATGTCAAACTATGAAGTCCTTGGGGACAGGGACCATGTCCTGTCATTTCTGGAATGTGATCCCACTTGACGTAATTGAATGTTTGCTGCTTAAGTGGGGGGATGTCCCCAAAGTCGGAGTAAGTGGGAATTTTCCACGTTGGGTTGTCGGTTTCCTGTTATATTGCTTTTCCAGGAACGTTCCCTATGTGTAATCAGAGGTGCCCTACCTATGCAGACAGAGAACCAGATAACAAGTTCAATTCCCAGCCCTGCCAGAGGAACGGCTGTAACCCGACATGACCACACGGTGGTGGCAGAGGACAGGGAACGAAATGTTTCAACTTTTTTTTTTTTTTTTTTTAAGTAAAAGCCAGAAACTTGGGCTTTGGGGCCTGGGGGTGATGCCTGGCGCCATTAAGAGTCATTTTAGAGAGTTAGTTGTTAGGAAAGAGAACCAGAAAGTATAATATTCACACACCTTATTAATGAATAACAAAGAAAAGAAATACTATTTGATGAACGCAACATACATACACTTAAAGTCCACGTGATGGTCAGTTAAGGGTGAGCGATGAGCCGACCCTGGAAGAGAGGAGGAGGCAGTGGACACTCACCAGCCCCAGGGCCTCAGGTAAAAGCACAGCCCTTGTGTTCAAAGCCCAGTCCTGTCATTGGTCCCTGGAGCCTCCTGGTCTCAGTAGCGCCTGTCTGCAGGGAGTAGCATAGGTACTGAGAGTCACCAAGGGCAGGTCCTTGTTTTAAGCCCTTTCTACACCTTTTCTAGCTCATTCTCCCAACAACCCCAGAGTGATATTATCCTCACTCTATAGATAAGCATGTGCCCAAGGTCAGCCAGTGAACAGTCAAAGCAGGGCTTAGACTCAGGAACTCGGAGCTCAGAACTCAGCATCTTTTTCCCCCTCCTTAAATGTTATTGATTTGCCAGTTTGCTTCCATAGCTGTATAATTTGGGGCGTACAACCTCACCCCTCCATGGGTGCACATGCTTCCCTCACTCTCCCCCTGAGCTCCAGTGCCAGTGCCCTCTCCCCCTCCCTTCCCTATCAGCTCTGAACTCAGGATCTTAGTGCCACTTGGCAGCCTCACCTAGGGACAAGCTATAGGAATGTTCTCTCAAATAGGTTGCCGGAAAGAGGTGGGGGTGCCTGCCCAGGGTCGTCGTTAGGCA